CTTCAAGGTCAAACTTCATAACATGTACTTTCAATTCTGAGCTGAAACAAATAATTTTATAAATCAGAGTATTTCTTGTCAAAGTCTTTTTTATACTAACAAGAGGATTATTATCTTGGTCTCTGGGTAAATGAATTGTCAATTTGCCTCTGAAAATAATCACTTTTACTAGAGACACAATGATTTCAAAACATTTAATAATATGTAAAGTAATTGAAAACTAACTTGTGAAAATGGGCAACAGAATGGATATTTCTCAATTAACAAACAATTTATACAAAATGTTCTGACTAATCTAGAGCATTGGTTACTAGGAAAGAGATTTTTTTATAATTTATGCAAGGACCAGCCCATGTATGAAAAACACTGAAAATTTTAGCTAAAAGTTCCCGAAGACCACAATACACTTGCTCATTTTAAAAATGGAACATATCTACTGCATGGGCTATAACTGATTTACAATTTTACACAAATAACAATTTTCTAATATGTATATAATAATATCATGTCTATACTTTTTTCAGTTTCTTCACATATTAAAATTATAAACAACATTTGCGTAGAACTAAACATGTAAAGCACTAATAGACTGATAGATGTATCACCCTAATACTTGCATAATAATTACAGTTTGTCGTCAAGGAAACCAAAAAGCTAAAAACATTCACAACTCAACATTTACACTGGCCATAGCTTTTTTTTGTCGAAAATAAGATAAAACCTTTTCTGCTGGATCCAAAAATTATAATTTATAATCAGGAACATAAAAACTAAAAAACTAAAAAAGATTTACTTTCAATAAAAAATAAGCCTTGATTTATTCCTAAATACTTGATATACAGTAAATGAAACAATTAATTTCCATGGTAACCGATAATATGAAAATGTACTAAAAATGATATATTATGTATCCAACAATTAACAAGTTTTTATGAATTGAAACTGAGATCTGTAATAGTCAATGAAAAAGATGAATGGATTCAATTACAATTTTAATTTAAGTGACAGCTTATATTGTTATATGTACACCATCCCTAAAATATGTACATCTCTTCTATGATATTGTTTTACATCAAACCTATTTAAAATGCATTTAAAAGTAAAACATCAGTGCATGTATCTAGTGTGATACTTAAGAAATGACATAAAAAATGATGGCAATAAAAGATGACAATTATTGTTCACACATTCAAAATCCATTGAAACATTTTAAGGAACTGCTGTCAAACAATGTTTGGGGAAGCAATGCAAAGCATTAGCAAATACCTGTCTGGAAAACACAACAATACTGTAATTTTTTTATTCCAAACTCAGCAAATGTTTTTTTGTTTGTTTTTTTCCCCATCTAATGTGGGGTGCAAACAGCTTCACAGTGTACTACCCATCACAATAGAGTAATCACTGTGTTGCGTTTATTTTTGATACATTTACCACTAATAAGTGCAACACGATTAAGTTGTAACTGTAAAAATTTGTACCCCTACTTAAGATGGGGAAAAAACCTGCATTTGCCGAGTTCTGGAATAACTCTATAATGGAAGCATATTTCTGATTACATTTTTGATCTAGACATGTACATTTTAAACAAATGAGTCAGGCATTAGCCAATGCTTTTGCTTTAAGTTTGTTAAACATAAATTCATTGCATGGCATGAAAGCAAATGGGATTAAAATACATTTTTTTACGAGGAGAAAAATAAAACTGCATTGAATGAATATGACACTACTTTTTTGTCATGTCGTCTGCTTCATTTTGAACACTTTAAAGAGGAGTGATGGCATGAAATTCAAAAAACTTCGATAGGCACTACTTTTATGGACGTATTCCTACACATCTAATGAAAATTATGATAAAAAAATTAAAACCTGAGTTACTTAAAAATACAAAATGTGGAACGAGCAATAAATGTTTCAGTATCAATCAACCAACATTACTTTGTTTTTGTACACAAATTTTACACATTCAAATCACGTATAAAACGAGACTTTTTCTACCAATAAGTTACTGCTCAAAGACAAAAAAATATTTTATACATATTACATCTATGATCTTAAATAAGGGCTATGAGAAACATTAATATCAAATTTCAGAGAAATTTTTTATCTTTCTAGACCAATTATAGACGACCAATGGTCACCTTAGTGCAATAACTGGTTAACTCCTATTAAATATAGAAAGACTTAATCTGTTATTGCACTATTTAATGTGATGAAATACATCTAGAAATCAGACTCAAAAAGAGTGTGTAAGAACTATTATAACACAAACAAGAGGGCCATGATGGCCCTTAGGTCGCTCACCTGTATATAGCCCCCCCCCCCCCCACACCCATTAGAAGATGTTTCATGCTAAACATCTAAGCTCTAGCTCATTGGGCTTTTTACAAGAATATTTTTTTAAGTTTTTACTATACACATAAAGTTAAAAACAATGACACCCCTGGGGCGGGGCCAGTTTTGACCCCAGGGCTTTTATTTGAACAAACTTTGTAGACACTTACTAGAAGATGTTTCATGCTTAAAGATCTAAACACTAGCTATTTGGGTTTTTTCAAAGAAGATTTTAAGTTTTTGCTATACACATATAAGGAAAATCAATGACCCCCGGGACGGGGCCAATTTTGACCCCAGGGCTTTTATTTGAACAAACTTTGTTGACACTCACTAGAAGATGTTTCATGCTTAATATCTAAACTCTAGCTATTTGGGTTTTTTCAAAGAAGATTTTAAGTTTTTGCTATACACATATAAGGAAAATCAATGACCCCCGGGGCAGGGCCAATTTTGACCCCAGGGCTTTTATTTGAACAAACTTGGTAGACACCTATTAGAACATGATTGATGCTAAATATCTTAGCTCTAGCTCTTTTTTAGTTTTTTAAAAGAAGATTTTTTAAGTTTTTACTATATGCATATAGGGAAAATCAATGACCCCCTGGGGCGGGGCTAATTTTGACCCCAGGGCTTTTATTTGAACAAACTTGGTAGACACCCATAAGAAGATGTTTCATGCTAAACATCTAAGCTCTAGCTCATTGGGCTTTTTAAAAGAAGATTTTTTTAAGTTTTTGCTATACACATATAGTTAAAAACAATGACACCCCTGGGGCGGGCCAGTTTTGACCCAAGGGCTTTTATTTGAACAAACTTTGTAGACACTTACTAGAAGATGTTTCATGCTTAATATCTAAACTCTAGCTATTTGGGCTTTTTCAAAGAAGAGTTTAAGTTTTTTGCTATACACATATAAAAGAAAATCAATGACCCCGGGGCGGGGTCAATTTTGACCCCAGGGCTTTTATTTGAACAAATTTTGTAGACACTCACTAGAAGATGTTTCATGCTTAATATCTAAACTCTAGCTATTTGGGTTTTTTTCAAAGAAGATTTTTTTAAGTTTTTGCTATACACATATAAGGAAAATCAATGACCCCCGGGGCAGGGCCAATTTTGACCCCAGGGCTTTTATTTGAACAAACTTGGTAGACAAATATTAGAACATGTTTGATGCTAAATATCTTAGCTCTAGCTCTTTGAGTTCTTTAAAAGAAGATTTTTAAAGTTTTTACTATATGCATATAGGGAAAATAAATGAACCCCTGGGGCGGGGCCAATTTTGACCCCAGGGCTTTTATTTGAACAAACTTGGTAGACACTCATTAGAACATGTTTCATGCTGAATATCTTAGCTCTAGCTCTTTGAGTTCTTTCAAAGAAGATTTTGTAAGTTTTTTACTATATGTATATAGGGAAAATCAATGACCCCCTGGGGCGGGGCCAATTTTGACCCCAGGGATTTTATTTGAACAAACTTGGTAGACACTCACTAGAAGATGTTCCATGCCAAATATCTAAGCTCTAGCTCTTAGGGTTTTTTAAAAGAAGATATTTAAAGTTTTTTCTTTCGGTTGCCATGGCAACCAGAGTTCTGCATGGAATTAAATTCTTTGAACAATTTTTAAAGGTGACCACCAAAGGAACATTCCTGTGAAGTCTGGATGAAATTGGCCTAGTGGTTTATGAGGAGATGTCATTTAAAGTAAAAGTTTACGGACGACGGACGGACGACGGACGACGGACGGACGACGGACGACGGACGGACGCCGGACGAAAAGTGATCACAAAAGCTCACCCTGTCACTTTGTGACAGGTGAGCTAAAAATCTGTTATGCGCAAATTCATCAACAATAATGGTTTGATCCATATTCTAACAGAAGAAAATTGTCAAAAAACGTTGTATGCAGTTATGAATATAAAACTTCTTCTATTGGTTTGTTACAACATATTTTAAATGATAAAGTTGCTTATAGAAAAGTTGCCAATGACAATTAAATCAGCTGTAATTGTAATAAAAATCATTCAAAAAATAAGAGCAGAATGCGTGTCATTAAATCATGTAATATCATGATGTGCAAAATAACATATCAAAATTAAAACATTCACTCATGTAGAACTATCTCCTCCAAAAAATGGAGAAATGAATATACATTTATATTAACAAGGGTTATATATGAATACAATTTATCGTATTGTCTGCTTTGTACACTATTTTACATGTGTCTGTTTCACATACACTTTGTACATCAGTTTTTTTTCAAGGAGACGGCAATCACAAACATACACCCTTGTGAACATAACTACACAGCATTTTTATGCGGAACATATATATATCATCACACACGGAATATGCTTTGTGTACTGTCATGAGCTGTTTACACATTCAGGATTATTAACACATCTATCCATTTATATATGTGGATTTATCATTTTTCTGTGAGCTATATAATTCCTGGAAAAAAGTAGTCCGGATTAAACAGTATTTTCCGTTTATCCAACTACTTAGTCAAAGCTGTTTACAAGTTTTAAGATTCATATTTGTAATTTTTGATACAATTTCTGCCCACTTGTTATTTAGTAAAAGACAGTCCGCATACACGATTAAAAGTCTGTCTTTGAAAACAAGATAAAGTACATAAAACAAAGTAATTGTTAAGAAAGAACTTTTTTTTTTATTTCCACAATAAAACGATTACACAACCTTGTAAAACTCACAACTTGACCCAGATCAACACTTATGTAAACTTCCTTTTGAATCACTTTTTATTGCTTCTTGTACAAGTTCAACTTTTGTTTTTATAACACAGCTTAATCAAAACACTTGAACACAAGGGATTGGAAGTTATACTCTTGGATTTACAATATCGGCGTAAGGCGTGCTTCCATTGTCAAGGATCTGAATTGGCCTACGGCTTCTCGGTTTATCGTCAAACTGAAGGTCAATATACAGAAGACCATCCTCGTTGCGTGGCTTAACATCGGAACTGTCAAACGACTGTAGAAATTCGGAAAGTAAAAGTTAGAAAATAAAGTCTAAATGCCTTAAGTCTTTGAAAAATAAACTATGAGATAAGTGCCATGCAGATTCATGCAGATTAGTTCCGTGAACTATACTCTTGGATTAACAATGTCAGAATAGGATTCTGCTCCTAACATGTTGTCAAGCAACTGTATAGGTCGCCGACTTCTTGGTTTATCATCAAACTGTATATCAAAAAGTCCCTCCTCATTCCTTGATTTTATGTCGGATGTACTATCGAATGACTGATGAAATAAACAAAAACAAAACAAAAAATATAAAAGCAAATTCATAAACCACCACATATCACCATGTCAAAGCAAATGACTCAGAGGCAACAATGAAAAAATTCCTAATTTCTTAAAGAATATTACATAAGAATATCAAAGTTGTTAATCAAAAGTAAGAGGTCACCCCTTTGGAACAATGAGCAGTGAAAGCACTGAATACTTTATTTGACAAATGAACGCACTGTGAGCAACAACTGCTTTGACAAAATTACCAAATCAAGTTCCATTTATATTTAAACTGGAGTTTGAAGACCAGTCTGTTAATAAAGATATCAACTAATGTCATTGGACCATATTAAACTCTTTCCCTGTCATCAACCAATCAGAGACTACAATACTTTGACTGGATTCTGCTGCAGAGGCAAGTACTTGCCTAAAAAGACTGGTCTTCAAACTAAAGTTAACAACATGCAACATTGAGATCAAGTAAATAAAAACAAACATTGACTCTGAATGAAAAACATGAAAATAATGTATTATTACAAAAATATTTGAAGGAAGCGCACAGTATAGTCCATATGGCCACTTTCTAGCTTTTCTAATGGAGGAAGATCTCTTAGTCACCCCTTTGTACATTATTTCGGGCTCAAACAAGAATGAGAGTAGAACCACCAACCTTCCTTTAAAGCTACTCACATGTTAGAACCCAAAGCCTCTTTTAGGATTCAAACCTATAGTTAAGCGTTTGCTAATAGTTGTGTCATAAGGTATCCAAAATTGTTTAGAATATCATGATGAGTCATCATTTAGCATTCAATAAAGTGCTAAAATTCATTGTTTTTAAAAAAACAACTAGGCATCAAAGAATTACTTTTTGGCATCAAAGAATTACTTTTTAAGAACAGGAAGGAAAACTTTTTAATAATCCAAGAATAAAGTTACGGTACATCATCTGCTTATAATTAAGCTTGTCTCTGACTTTATAACTTAGGCCAATTAAACAACCTACAGATTCCTGCATTTTGTACTCATGTTAACTTTTACTCAAATACTAACCATTTATTAATATAAGAAAAAACTTGATAAAATGGCAGCGGCATTTGACCTTAATGAAATTATGGATTCTTTGTTCAAATGTGAGAATAAACAACAAATACAGCACCTATGGCACATATCACAAGTTTGAGATTGAAGAGAAGATATAATTAGCAGAATACACATTTACATCAGCACTTAAGGATTGATATGAAATGATCAGAAATTGATGCCCAATAGCTTTCATTTAGCATGCATAAATAAATATATAAAACAATGGCAGACAAATTATTATCTTGGAGTGCCTAAAGATCTAATCATATTGTAAAAGATAATGTTGACAAAATTACTTTTTTTTTTTAATCTAAGATGGTATTTCGAGACCACTTAACATCCATCATGAAACTGTCACTGTGTGACTAATGGGCCGGAATGATACATTTGATACATATACATGCTTTCATCAAACTCAGATAACCCTGATAATGTAAAAAGCCAGTGAGGCATAGAATCAGACTAAATTAAATTTAATTAAACTTTTGCAGTTCTTAACTTCAATTCGACCAACCTGTACCACTAGTTTTTGTCCTCAAGTGACTGCCTACTTCTCTAACATTATTTATGACTCAGGTAGGGGAGGGGGAGTCAAATGACCAGTAGTCTAAATGTCCAAGATCAATTGTCAAGCAGAAATTTCACCTTGCATAGAGGATTGAACCAGAAAGCAATGGATTACTGAGCAAAAAACTGATGATATTGGCATTTAATCCTTACAATTTATAATATGTGCATCCAGATATGCTTTCTAAATAAAATTCTGACACAAAAAGGCAAGAAACATAGTGAAACAGGCATGCAAAATAGGATCACCATAAGAAACTTAAAACAAACATAATGTCTTTCATCCATCAATAAATTAACATTAAATTGGCCAAATTGTTTCACTTTCAATACCTATTTTTATCATAATTACACAGCTTGTGTTGAAAGTGAATAAACAAAATTAAAACTATCCAGCATTGTATTGGAACTTGACAATCTCAAAAATCAGTCAACAAAAATGAAGGAATTTGCCAAATTAATTAAGTTTTGATGGATGAATCAGGTAAGCATGTATACAAAAGGAGGGAAATGTAATTTGCATAATAGTAAAGGTTACATTTTGTTGCTAATCTTGAAAGTTGTGAACACTGTTGCATTTGAATTTTCCAAATAGAGACATCGTTTTACCTGCTTTTGGTTTCAATGACTTCTATTGATAATCATACAATTTTAGTACATTAAACATTGAATTCATCCTCATGCTAGGAGAGATATACAAATGTATTGTGGCTCAACCCTGACCAGAATTATCTATACCATATACCATCTTTCTATTCTTAGAAAGTAAAAAATCTTTTCCCATGATTTATAAAAGAAAATAATTTCTTAATCATATCTTTGTAGTTCACTCAAGGAAAAATCTTAAATTCAATGCTGATTTGGCACCACAGAAGCACAACAACATATATTTGGAGGCAAATTTGCACATAAAAAGGGCCTACCTATTATATAAATCAGTAAACTATTTGGCAAACTATTTCTATTGTAACCGAAATCAAACTTGGTCAGCATACTGATACAACATAATCAGACAGTGCCATTCCATAATTGTTAAATAAATAAAAAAGAATGTTTGGGCAAAAAACACATATATTCTTAACTCTTAACCCTTAACCTGCTGGAACTAAAAATGTCAGCCTTGGTCACCAGTATAGAGCCATGCCAGTCTGTACGTCTGCACAGTCTGACCAGGTTCAATGCTATTGGTAGCTCAATTTTTGTATTTCAATATTGAAACCCCTTTCACATTTGAATGAACTGTTCAAGATAATAAATCAATATAAAACAGGAAGAATCCATTTCACAGTTTCAGTAAGTTAAGGGTTAAAATATTGATTTTATGAAAAAGCAGAAATTTCTAATAAAGAAAATTGCCTTATCTCAACACTGTCAACATTTAGCTATGAACTTTACAGATACAGAAAAAAAAATGAACAATTAAAAGGTATACTTACATTATTAAAGCTTGAATTGAGAGCACTACTTCCCATATTGTTCTTCATACCATGATCGGCTGACACCAGATCTGGCCTGTTACCATAATATGATAAATCTTGATTACTGAAACACAGGTGTTAGTGTTAGGAAAGTAAAAATAAGAAAACCCACAGCAAACCTCAAACCGTATTAAGTCTATTTTACTCGCATTAATGGATCTAAAAATACTAGTAGATGATTGTTACAGGTGAATAAAAGACGGTCATTATGATGGTTAATGCCTGATATTATAATTCATCTTTAATTTAATTCATGAAATGTGGCTTACTGCCATTATCCGGAGTGAAAACTACCATAATACCTTATACCACCACCATTCATGAAATGACAATAGCATTAGTATGACCATTTTGAATACAAGCACCAAATATCAAAGTTATATGCGACCAAAAAAGTAAGGCCAGGCCTGTCTGCAAATTTATGGAGTGGAGCCAACATTTTTTCTATTGACTCGGCTTAACCCTTAAAAATACCACGCTAGAAATCTTATATGGACTTTCCCATTGTTCTTGTACATTTTCAATCTGGATAAAACCATTCATCAACTGACTTGCCCCTGAATGTGTTTGTATCCATGCAGCTAGCGAACTTAAATTTCGTTAAATGACACATTTCCAGCTTTATAAGCAGAAACATAACAAAGACTTATGTCTCTGTATAATGCCAAGTTTGTGCACTTACTGAAGTAGAACCACCAACTTCACATAACCTTGCAAGATAACTTACTCTCAATTTGAGGGACACTTAAGTGAGGGCAAAGTAAGTGTGAGAAAAGTGACAAAATATGAACCTTAACCAATCTAGCCAAAACATCTGTGATTAAAATAGTTTTAAGTTAAGTGCAGAAGTTAGATGTGATAAAATGTTTGAACCTTCCAGCACCAGTCTAACAATAGATTAAATGGGGACAGAAACTTTTTTCAAGTAACCCAATGTTCTAACAAGATCTTGAGAGAGACTTGAGGTATTATATGGCTGTTAAATATCATAAAGTTGTTATGTATTTAGAATACCAGTTATCATAATGGCTCAAAATTGAATTTTACTCATGAACCCACATAAAAATAAAATAATAAGTACATTGGCATCCTATAAAGCTTGTCTTTATCAACTCTGACAGTGCAAATATAATGATATCGTTTAGTTTTAAATATCAATTTTTTTCTATATCTTGATGTGTAATAGATAGCGAAAAAAAATCAGATTATACATTGTCCCAAATAACAACAGTAAATAGTGTTTATAAAATTTAATCTTATTATGTGATATGGGGAATAAGGGAAAAGAAATACCCTATTCCTTTTTTGGAGATTGGGGAGTGAACACCTTTCCCCCATTTTGAATATTGGGGAGTGGGAGAAAGTCAATACCTCCCCTTCCTTTTGAAAGACTGGTGGATCAAGTGGAAAGTGGAAAACCCCTCTTCCATTTCAGAAATTAGGAATGGGGGTAAAGGGAATACCACTCTAATTTTGTGAATGAGGAAGGGGAATACCCCTACTTATCTTTAGGGATGGGGAATGTGGTGAATCTATAAGAAAGCAAAATGAAACAACATGGTATGAAATGGCAAAGAATAAGACAAGGAAAAAGGAAAATTATTCAAAGTGATCCGATGTGATAAGTTATTAAGTTATAAACTTTACCTTATGTTAATACATGCATACAGGACAAAATGTGTAAAAAACTATCTTCCTTGTTGAGAAAAATAATTCTACATGTATCTATTCTTAACCAATGTTTCAAAATGTATGTGTACATTATTTTTAGTTACAACTGTAACTTGATATTGATAATAAAGCCTATCAGCTGATCAGCAGGTTGAAACAACTCTTATCTGATTTGTGTATGAAATGTTATGTAAATTGTAGTTTAATTCATTTGAAAAATTACAATTTTTAAATTTGAAAACAAGTATTTTTACTTACTTCCTTGGCTTCTCTGGTGGTTCTGAAACAGGAAATATAAACTATATTGAACTTGACATTTTCTCCAGAAACAGTTATAATTATTAACTTTAAAATATCATAGTAACATCAATATTATCAGTTATACTGTCTAAGGCAACTTGACTGTCGTTGTTAGCCTGGAAGGAACTGGGCACCTCTTGAGATGGCTCTTTAAAATTCTACCCCTTATGACAGTTACAATGCCCAGCAGTTCAGTATGGCAGAGAGGCATGCCTATGGATCTGCTTATCATGCTCAGATGGTCACACAGTTTATTCACCATTTGAAATAATGACTGTGATTTCCAGTAAATGATTCCAAAACTGTCAATGTTATTCTTTTAATGAACCTTAAAGAGCCCATTTGCAATGTTGACTATCATTCTTCTCCAAGTCAAGCTAAAATTCATTAATCATTGCTATATACAAACCTTCAATTTCCTTTGGTCTTCTCTTCTTCATCACACACAATACTATGACAACAATGCAAATGATGACAATGACTCCAAAACTTACTCCCAAAGCAATCCCTAGAGTGGTCTTATCATCATCATCCCCTGAAATATATATGATATCATTTAACAACATAGTAATAGTAAATACCAGAATATCGTTTGTTTGTCTGGTTTTTATGCCAATTTCAGTACAAATTTGGTCATTTTTCAGCTGCTACTGTTAATTACTAATTTCTCAGGCAGAAATTGGCTATCAATCCCACATGATTTCAGAATCAGGGGTAAAGGTGATAAATGACCTTTAGACTCAATGTCCACAATCAATTTCATAGATCGTCAATTTCACTCAACCACTTGTAATTACTAATAGAATTTAAGAGATCTCAATGCAGGACGAGTAGAAAAGTGTTGCCTGCACATTGGATTTAAAAGTTCCTTATCCTGGATGAGTGGCTCTGTTCAAATTATTTTGATGCCTGAATTTCATAGAGGAAGTTTTCCACATCTGAGGATCAAGCCAAATAGTAGATAAAGTAAGTCTAGCAACCTAGTATTATGACACCTTAAGTTATTAATTATGAAGATTTTGACTGCAGTTATATGGTCAAGCAAAAACGGTTGTGAGTTAACAGAACCCTAGCAGCCAGGCTAGTGGTACATATCAAACAACCACTTATCAATCGGCCATATAACCCACTGACAGTGTTTATGGTGGACGACTATTTTTTTTTCAATTTCAATAAAATCCACTCATTAATTATCTCATTACATAATTGCTGTATATGTTGTATAATATTATAAGTTAAAACAATTTTAACAATTTTCCAATCAAAATTCATGTTACAAACATAATTATAGTATCCTGTAAAATATTGCTATATAGCTGGAAATACAGAAATAATTTTGAAATATTTTATAATGTATTTAAATGCCAGAATACAGATAGTGATCATAATATCTACATTTAAATGCAACAGAATATTTTGTGCAGTAAGTTGATGGAAATCAACCATACCCCATACTGTTGGTGTGTAGATCTGTTATATAATTCTCTAAGTAAAATTGTGTTGCAGGAGTGTTACTTTTATATTTCAAATTATGACACTGTGTCAGTGATTATTTACTGGAGTAACAATTCAACAAATTGGGTAAGTCAACTTCTTTTTTTCATCGTTTATTACCTTCGTAATAAAGTGTATATCCCATTAAAACAGAATATAAGGTAATTTGAAACTAATCATAATCATAAAAACATAATCATAAATTTGATTTTCAATTAAAGGCCCCCCACCACCACCCAATGAAAATAAAATGTTATTCATCTTTAACTTTTCTTTGAAGCAAAGTCATAGTGATTTATAATTTATATGGGAGAAAACATATGACTCTGTTTTAAAAAATTTTACATGAAGGCAGTCCTACTGTAATGCTTTCCCCGCCAAAAAAAAATAATATATTGGCCAAGATCATCATAAATCTGTCATTTCCAGAACATTATTTTTCACACTCTTGCATGCTTGATAATACAGTTCTGGGTCAATAAAACACTAATCACCAAATGGACTCGTAAACATGATACCACATTTAGTCACATGAAATTGACAACAGGCTGATAGGTCTTTGAAAGCTATCAACCCTTATTACCAATTAATAAACAAAGTAAATATATATTAAGTACTATTCTTATAATGACCTTCAATATGAAGTGACCAGTTATCAACCTTCAAATTCCAGACTGTATGCCAGACCTCTTCAACTTAAAAAGCCCCCACTGTGTTCTTTGATAACAAGATCTCTTCACCAAATACTTATCAGTAAAAACAAAGTAACAAAGGAATGACTAAAATAACCTTAACAATGGTTTTTATCCTTTATTTGAAAATCAAAGCTCAATTATATATCAGCAGCAGCAATTATGTTAAAGGCCCATTATGCCTCATAAGCGTTTATTCTTTCAATTTTTAAAAGCTTTTATATTTATTGTCTTGGTGTATTTTCCAAAAAGTTACTCATTGGTCAATTACCTCATCCATAGTTTACTTCTGTTTCTTTTTGCAAATTAATACAGCTATAGTGATTTAGCATTTTATATGAAAGTCAAAATACTTCTTTGTTTATTTTTTGCTACTTTCATGACAAATAAATCCACTTGCAGTGCTACTTTCTTCATGTAATAAGTATCTAACACACTCTAAAACCATCATTGAAACATTCAAAGCTCATGTTAGTTTTCCTTTCTAAAGAATGGAAAACTTATTCGTTTCTGGGGCATAATTATAATTTCCTTTAACACAATGTATTTAAATACAGATGTGCCAAATTATTGTTTAAAAGTGGAATATCAGTCTTAAAGTCGGTTCAAATATTTTCAGGAAAAACTAGAACTGCCACTATCATGGCGTGAATACCCCCGCATACCACTTTGTCAGAATCAACAGTGGCCATTCAGAGCTCAAGGACAACCTCCCTGCCAAATCTGAGGTTACTAAGCCAGTACATTGCTAAGTTTTGTATTCTACATGCTTCAAATGTGAAAATGTCAAAATCAATACATTGCGGACAGGACATTCTTTAGCAATTGAGAAGAAAAGCTTTTTTTTTGTCAAGGTCCCTGTGACCTTGACCTTTGACCCAGTGACCTCAAAATCAATAGGGGTCACCTTATTGTCATGATCAACATCCATGCCAAATATGAAGACTGTTGGTCAAAGGAATCTTAAGTTAATGGGTGGACAAACTTTTTGAAGTCAAAGTCCCTATGACCTTGACCTTTGATCCAGTGACCTCAAAATCAAAAGGGGTCATCTACTAATCATGATCAACATCCATGCCAAATATGAAGACTGTGGGTCAAAGGAATCTAAAGTAATTGGGCAGACAAACTTTTTGAAGTCAAAGTCCCTGTGACCTTGACCTTTGACCTGGTGACCTCAAAATCAATAGGGGTCATCTACTAATCATGACTAACCTCCATGCCAAATATGAAGACTGTGGGTCAAAGGAATCTTAAGTTATTAGGCGGACAAGCTTTTTGAAGTCAAGGCCCCTGTGACCTTGACCTTTGACCTGGTGACCTCAAAGTCAATAGGGGTCATCTACTAATCATGACTAACCTCCATGCCAAATATAAAGACTGTGGGTCAAAGGAATCTTAAGTTATTGGGCGGACAAGCTTTTTGAAGTCAAGGCCCCTGTGACCTTGACCTTTGACCTGGTGACCTCAAAGTCAATAGGGGTCATCTACTTATCATGATCAACATCCATGCCAAATATGAAGACTGTGGGTCAAAGGAATCTTAAGTTATTGGGCGGACCAGCTTTTTGAAGTCAAGGCCCCTGTGACCTTGACCTTTGACCTGGTGACCTCAAAGTCAATAAGGGTCATCTACTAATCAGGACTAACCTCCATGCCAAATATGAAGACTATGGGTCATAGGAATCTTAAGTTATTGGGTGGACAAGCTTTTTGAATCAAGGCCCCTGTGACCTTGACATTTGACCTAGTGACCTCAAAATCAATAGGGGTCATTTACTAATCATGACTAACCTCCATGCCAAATATGACGACTGTAGGTCAAAGGAATCTTAAGTTATTGGGCGGACAAGCTTTTTGAAGTCAAGGCCCCTGTGACCTTGACCTTTGACCTAGTGACCTCAAAATCAATAGGGGTCATCTACTAATCATGACTAACCTCCATGCCAAATATGAAGACTAAGGGTCAAAGGAATCTTAAGTTATTGGGCGGACAAGAAAAAACCGACGGACGGCCGGACGGACGGACAAGCTGATTCCAGTATATCCCCCTTACAACTTTGTTGTGCGGGGGTATAACAATATCATGTCCAGCAAATTTAACCATCAACAGAATGAAAAAATTAATTGATGTAAATAAGCATAGTAATATATATAATTGTACATACCGTCTCGAATCTGTGCTACTGTTGTACCCTCACCTCCTCCTGTGGGACCTGTAGTAATTTTTGGGGTTGTAGTCGGGGCTGGTGTGGTAGTTTTTCCTACGAGAGACAGACAGACACTTGCTCACCCAACTTTATTTCATTTCATCATAATTTTAGGTAAAATATGCATATTTTTTCATCTTTGTTTCAGTAATTTAGGTAATTATAAGCATATTTTCGTATAATTTCGGTAAAAATCCGCAACATTTTTAATTCACTTTAATTAAAGTATGTATATTTTCAATTATATATATCCTTGCAGGGAAAAACATGCTTCTAATAATTTTCATTTTGTTACACAAAGGGTGAAATATGCATATTTATAAGTTATATATGACAGGGTTTATTTGGAAGTATACAATAACTGTGCATGGCCTTAATACCAAGTAAAGTGAGTATTTATAAAAACAAACCTGTCCTTAGCAAGTACCTTTCTTTATAGATCACCACTAAAAAAATCAATATCTGAGGCTTATAAAATTTGTTCCGATAACTCTTAAACAATAATACTGAATTACATGGCTCTACTTTGGATCAAACCTCAATAGGAAGAAAAATAATAAAATTAAGCTTCCATACATGTAATCACTGGACCCTTTCCATACCAGTAGTTTAATCTTGTCATATACCAGTAATTAAAAATTGTGGTACTCACGACTTAGCATCCAAGGAGTTTAGGTCACCACATGTTATAAAAAAAGTTTTATCATATTGTCAAAGTTTATAAACAAGCACTGCAAAGGTCTATTAAACCTTTCATGTTTACTTAACAAAGTACTTAGAGCACTGTTGATAAAGAAAAAGTTTAAGAGTTTGTTTTTTCCCCCAAGAGGAAATAACATTGCCCATGCCAAACAAACAAAACCATTAATGTTAAAACCTTAAATGAAGCCTTTCATTGGTAAACTGAGTCCGTCTTCATATTAATGAAAATAAAAGTAGCATAAGGTAATATGAAACACCAATCATATCTAAATATGAGCCGCGTCACAACAAAACCAACACAGTGGGTTTGCGGCCAGCATGGATCCAGACCAACCTGCGCATCCGCGCAGTCTGATCGGGATCCATGCTGTTCGCTTACAAACCCTATTACAAGAAAGGAAACTGATAGCGAACAGCATGGATCCTGATCAGACTGCGCAGATGCGCAGCCTGGTCTGGATCCATGCTGGTCACAAACCCATTATGTTGGTTTTGTCGTGACGCGGCTCATATGAATATGTGTAATGGATGTGAATGCCCTGCTTCAAAATCTGGAGCAGTCCATTCAATGTTTAAGGGATTTCAATATAAAAATACATACTAAACTGAGCTACCAACAGCATGGAGTCTCCGGTGAGACTTAACGGATGTGCAGACTGGCCTAGCTCTTATTCTGGTGTATAATCACTTTCAGATCTTCAAGTTAAGGACTAATATTTTAGGTTATATTAAGTCATGAATGACAATGGTCATAAATCAATATTTTAAATATAAACTGTTGACAACAAATTGATTGAAACTCATACAATGACACAGCAAAATTGCCTCGTAATATTTTATCTTTTACCTAATAAAGAAAGGTACCATCATATGACAGGTTTGTGGGAAAGGTGTTTGAAATGAAAAGATTGTTATTTCATTTCAAGTGGCATAAAAGAATAATTAATATTCTATATCAACACGACTTTAATATTTTATTGAAGTGAAAAGTAAAAAAATTTGTATATATAATAATTGACGTAATACGTTTTAGGTACTTCATGTCAAATATAATTTTTTCATCACTTTTGATTTACATCGAATACAAATAAGGTACTGAACTAAATTTCAACCCATCTTTTTAATTTGGGCTTATCTATTGGACCCAAACATAAATGGGACATACATATACATGGGACTTTAACATAAATAGGACTAACATAAATGGGATACATAAATGGGACTTAATTTTAACATAAATGGGACTTTAACATAAAAATACTGAAATAGGTCAGCCCAAGCACTGCACTGATATGGCAGTACATAAGGTATCCTTACTCCATACTGCCATAGGTTTGTTATTTTTACCATGCTTATTTCTTTTATGCCACTTAACATAAAATAACAACAAAATACATAAAAATCATGTCAATTTGCATGCACAGTACCATCATCAATATAAAAATATAGCAAAATATAAATGTATCAAAAATGCTCATGAATAAAATGCATTGCAATGCAAACAGCTTTGTTCAAACGATAATAATAACTACAGTGCACTTAACACATACTGAAATATTAATCATGTTGTATATTATGTTAGGAGTAAAACTACAATAAACAAAATTGAGAGCATATACAAAACAAAGATCAGTATGATCAAAGATTCTTTGCATCACTATCATATGAGCCGCATCATGACAAAACCAACATAATGCGTTTGCTACCAGCATGGATTATCTAGACCAGCCTGCGCGTCCGCGCAGTCTGAAAAGGATCCATGCTGTTCACTTTCAGTTTCTCTATTTGTAATAGAGTTTGTAAGCGAACAGCATGCATCCTGATCAGACTGCGCAGATGCGCAGGCTGGTCTGGATCCATGCTGGTCGCAAACGCACTTTGTTGGTTTTGCCGTGACGCGGCTCATATATTAATGAAAGTTAAACAGCCAGATTCATCTCAGTTCTGTTTTGAGGTCTATACAATGGCAATTTTTCTTATTAATACTTTTCACATTACTGTGCCTTTAATTGTGGGAAGTAATTAATTGTTTTCTTTAAGCACCAGTCTACACTATTAACAGTATTTCTGTCACATACTAATCCTTTGAACTACAGATTTTGTATAATGAATTCACCCTGCTTTAAATTTGGAACAGTCTATTTAAATTTTAAGGAATTTCAATATGGAAATACAAAAAGCTACCAACAGTATAGAGCCAATTGTCTGACTACACAAATGTACATGTGCATGATGACTGACAAAGCTCTATACTGGTGTCAAAGGCTTATCAGTGGCAGGGTGGCTGAGTGGTTAGTATCAAATTATCACCTTTCTAAAGGATAATTATGGGTGAAACAGAGAGACATGTAAACATGCTATGTACATGCAGATTCTCATTCTAATTATTTATATCTTGACTATCAGTCTGCTCAGCTTTAAAAATAAATTTTTAATTCTATAATTTAACCCTAAATCTGCTTTGACCAAAAAAAATCAGACTTTGCCACCAGTATAGCGCCTAAGGCCAGCCTGCACAACCATGCAGTCTTCTTCAAGGCTCTATCCTGTTAGCTAACCAACTCTTGATATTTCCAAAACTGACAGTTCCAAAAATAGAAACTAAAAGAAGTCCATTCAAGAAATTTAGCATGTAATTTATTAATTTGTTAATCTTTTCCTTCAGCCATAATCAAAAAATTTAAAGAATCATGACGAAATGTAATGCAACTTTGAAGCAGATCAATCACTAATGTTTTGTTATATTCATAAATATTAATATTGAATACTTTTTCTTCATTACATACACAAAATATCTATAATTTCTATTAAAATTCTGCCTTATCACAGTTTACGTCCTAAGCAACGTAAACTAGGACATTTTACTACTGGCCCTATAGGGTGCCTCACTACTACAATTTTATCTACACGCACGAGTACATTCAAATAGCTAGAAGACACCAGCGTCATCTCAAGTGTGTCATTATTTTGAAATAAAGCACGCCTCATCGGTAAATATTTTTGTTGTTACACACTTTACTAGGCAATTAGTACATAGAATGTATCACATTGCGAAACTGAATCTGTATACTTCTGCATACAAATTGAAAATATAATAAAATTTAAACAGCGTAAAGTTGAAATTGAAATTATTGAAATTATATTGATATAGGTAACATTTCTTGTTTTATTGATGTAAGTTTAGGTTGTCCTTAGTTTAAGGTTGTTGCACAACAGGGAAAGGACTACTTTTTAGGAAAGGACTAATTTTTATATAGAAGACTCATGCCAAATAATCAACTGTCAAAAGATGATTATGTATGAATTTAACTATTTAATTTGCAACATTTTTACATAAATGAATTGAATTTCAGAGCTTAGTCATAATTAAGTCATATTTTGTAAGTAATACAATCAGCTGCTTTTTGCAGGACATAAACAATTTTTTTTCAATAAAACGTTAAAATTATCAGCTTAATTACAATATCTCAAAACATAATATCTCTCACATAATTCTAAAGATGTAAAAAGATATTAAAAAGTAGTTTTTATTTCACAATTTTAGTAATTCAGGTAACATTAATTTTACAAAGATACCTAGGGCATTGCTTGTTTTTAGGCAACAAAGATATGTCACACAGCTTTTCACTATACAAATGGTACTTTATCATTAGGGTATAATCTACAAACAGCACACCAGCACTGCATGGGGGGTTACAGTGTATCAAAAATGGACTATCAATTCAAGTTATGACATCCCATTTATATTGATAGTAAATGTTTAATATCTGATATAAAATCAAAACTTTTAAAAAGAGAGAATTTGAAAATATCATGGTCCTTGCTTTCTGCAGACTTGTTACATAATCATCGCAAAAATTGTTGAAAAATTCTTTTCATTCAATACTTATCTTTGAGCCAGATAAAAATCATAGAGGTAGGATATTCAATCAAATTTGAGCCATGCTCTAGTAAAAGAAACATTTACATTTTGACCAGGGTAAACCCAGATCAACTAGCCAGTTATGCAGGTTCAGGTTAGGGGTCAGCTCAGTGTTTGCAAATCAGTCAATCTGGCATCATGCATCTACCATGTTACTGCTCAGGGAAGACCCTGACTGGAATATGACAGCTGCTGAGAGTATGTAGTCATCAGTAACAATGTCAGCATGCCAGGTTGTGCTGACTGGCACCACTTGACCCATAAACTGCATGAACTGAAAGTGATGAGACTTTACATCCATACAGTCTGACCAAGCTCTGCTCTATTTATAGCTCAATTTTTGTCTTTTGATATTGACATGTAACCTTTCACTTTAAATAGACTGTTTCAAATTGAAAACTGGCCAGCATTTTCAAATGGTATTATTAGG